AGAGGTGAATCACATGAGCATAATAGGATCTGCTTTTAAACCTTAGGGTGCATGGGTCACTGATCACCTGAATGCATCCCTTTTCATTAGTAATGGTTATAACAATTATGCTAGTAACACTTGATTTGTCATACAACAATTAGAGGTTCCCACTGCTATTAATTAAATTGTCATATCTGTCAACAAATAAAATAAGATAAGTCTCATTTGGTGCCTTTCCAGTGTAAACAACATAAAAATCACACAGCCTTAGAACAGTTTTGGTTGTACACAAGCTTTGAAGCTCATCTGGTCTAATACCATATTCAAAGCATCGCTAGCTTGAAAGCAGGATTAGATTCCTCAGCACCTTGTCCAGTTTTGAATCTCCAAGTATGCAAAATCCACTGTCTCCTTAGTCAATCTGCTTCAGTGCTTAACGAGCCTCACTGTTTTTTGTTGTTTTTTTTTTTTTTTAATCTAGTTAGGGTTGCAATCTGTGGCCCTTACCCCACGTACATGTTGTAAAAGAATCAATCTCTGCCTTCAATTTGCTGACGTAGTGGCACTTTGCTAAGCTTACTCCAGTTTGCTAATGTCTTTCTTGTACCAGGGATTCCAAAACTGGACACAGTAGTCCAGACAGTTTCAGAAGTGATGAAAAAGTGGGTGTAATCACTGTTCTCAGTAGCGTCACTACATAGTGGCTAATGCAGTGGTTAGCCCTCACTGTTGCAAGGGTGCACTCTTTACTCATGTGCTACTTGTAGTCCATCAACAACCCTTGTTAGAGTTGCTCCCTAGACAGTTCACCTCTCTCAATTGTTTACTTTCAAATCATTTCTTCTCCAGCTTTTTGAGCTTCCTCTGAACAGCAGCTTTATTATCCAGCATATTGACTTCTCCCTGCAATTTGGTGTCAACCACAAACTTGCTGACAGTGTGTTCCTTTCCATATAATTACAAACCAATAAATAATGCCACTACCATTTTGTCTGGTAGAGCCAATATACTGGTTTCCCAGGTAATGAAAAGCAAAAGAGTGTTTTGAAGGCATGTTCCACAAGGGACTAGGGTAGGAGTTGAGTGATTACAAGGAAGGAAGATCTGAATTTAAATAGAAAAAAAAATAACAAAATTTTATATAAAAGCAGATAATGACAGCTGCTCTGGTCAGTAATTACTTGAGACTAAACATGGACAGAAATAGTCAATGTGAACATAAATATCCTTCTGATCTGGCAGCATTTCCACCCATTCTCATCTTACTCCATGTACCTGGAAATGTCAAATCAAACTACTATATGTGTTTTAATGCTAGTGCACACAATAATCTGTTAGTCTGTATCCAATATTGGGTAAAAGTATCAATTACAGAAATATCCTTGTCTCCATCTTTGACTTTTATACTGTAGGATTGATGTAAAGAAGCCATAGCATGAATAGGAACTTGGTCTAAGACTTTTTTTACTCCCATTGAAAAAATCAATAAGCAAGATTCCATCTTAGTTACCACAATGTCAGTGTGGAGACATCTCAGCAGCCAGCTGAGTTTATTTGCATTACCGGAGATTAAGATCAAGTCTCACTACAACTGCGTGCGTCAATCATTAGCAGAGAGATTTGTACCTGGCTTTCACATTGACTCCAAATTTCACATATAAGGAGCAATACACACAAAAATAATTTCAGAGTATTTAATCTCTTCCCATACAAGAAATAAGAGGAAATAAAAATGGAATACAAGCAACCAACCTCCTTCTTGGAAGAATGCGTACTTGACAAATGCGCTTTTCTATCTGGTCACTATTTAAATTTTAAAATACCTGTGACGCTGAGTCACCTTGTCCTATCAGGAAACAGAAGAGCTATAAATCACCCTCTGGTGAAGAACTCTACTTACTTCCACAACTAGCTGAAGAAGGACAGAAGAAACTTCTGATCTTCCTGGAAATGAAAGGTAGGATTTAAATTGATTTGTTTGTTTAAAGTTTTGCAATTTTGCCATGTATTAAAATAAAACATATTGTCAGAAGACTACTTGAACAACCTAGGACAGTCACAGAAAGTCGATTTTATTCAGTGAAAAATAAGGACTGCATAAGCAATAATGTAATATGAGCTGAAAAAAAAGAGAGAGAAAATTGATGAACAATCAAAAACGGATTAAAAGCTGTGTGTATGCAAGAAAGCAACATCTTGGTAGAGAAAGAGACAGAGACAGAGCGAACATATGGAACTGGATATATATATTCAGTTCAAGATATCCTATTGCTATGTGTAGCTATCACCATTTATTTTCAGAATGGGGAAATTACCACCTTGTGCAACTCACCACTCTTGTGCAAGGTGACTGCTAAATAGGGCTTTGTGCAACAATGCAGCACAAGTGAAATCACAGCTAGTATTATTACATTTCAGGTGTTTTCAAGGATAATAAAAAACAATTTGAATGTTATTTTGTAATAGGTATTCACTTGTATTAATAATTTAGGATACTTTTTTTTTTTTTTAGCAGGAGGGATGGGAAAAACATATTCACACAAGTCTGCTAAACTCATACAAACTAGGGATGCTAAAGCACCATCTTTCAGTGGCAGATCCCTGTACACAGATGGACTTGCAGGAAAGTCAGTAAGACTTGGCATGTGTCCTGATTTGTGTTTGATTGAGGGGGAAGAGGGGAGGGGGACAGAGAGACCGATTTTAGGACTAGTGCCTAGAAATTAATGCAGAGCAATTAAATTTACATCTCATAAACTATAAGCATTTGGTTAAAATCAGTGGGACTGCCAAAAGTATGTTAATATCTTGGAGCAGGAAACCCAATGGGTCTTAAAAAGCATTCCAATGGCATTTTGCAAGTTGTTTCATGTATTAAATTACCAATTATATTTAATTGTAAATTAATTCATAGAAAATATTACAGTGAATGAATACTTTACCCATGTCTTTAAGTTAGCTTCTACAGTTTGGCTTGCAACATAGAAAACTTCACAATTTCCATTCAAACAGAGAATTTGTTTTTACATGTTTCAGGTGCAAAAAGGGTTGTTTTCTATTTGCATATCATCACGTTTTGCACTCAAAAGACATATTTCTGCTTGTAACTTGAGTACAGCTAAAAATAACACCCACCTCTCTGCTTTCTAGTTAGAAATGAAGTGAAAATAATATTTTTTTTTCATGTTTTTGGGAGTATAATCTTTCACTGCTAAACACCTGGGTCATATACACTACAAAGTTTTGCAATGGCTCTGAGGAGTAAGTGGTAGAAAAGTTAGCATGAAACAACTTCTGCAATTCTAAAGCACCTGAAGGAGTCATAGGTGATGTCAATATTAAACATAAGTGACATAAGGCAGTAGCAAGAAGAGGAAATCCATGACTTATACTGTTAATTATCAGAATAGTTCCCAGTATGTTTTTTCTCCCAGGTCAACTAGATCTTTCCTAAACTATAAGTACTTGGAATAAGCCACTTTATTTTGGAGGTTGTGAGAGTTTAATCATATAGATGTGGCAAATCTGTCCAGTTTTTGGTCTCTGAGGTACAGCTGTCCATAGTCCCTATCCATTACAATGGGCTTTGCTCTTTAGCAGAGCTGGATTAGCTCCCCTGCTTAAGGGCTGGGGACTGTGGGTTGTCTCTAGTGCAATGTAAGTAAGCTGGAGAGGAAATGGGCTTTGCTATACCATTTGGAAAAGGGTAGTTTTTTTCTTACCCACGTGTTCTCTATGAGCTGGAGCACCTTGTGTTTTATATAAACCAGTTGCCCCAAGGTAAAGGAGCTTTGCTGAATATGGAAAGATTAGAAAATCCTATTGGCCTTTCACCAAGAAAAAATTTCAACTAAAACCAGCAGACCCTTAAAACCCAATAAGAATTTAAGAAAATAATATACCTCCATGGCAACATGCCCATAAATTCCCTTGGAGTGGGGGGCTGGGAAAAATGCCAAAATAAGTAAATTCCACTCGGGTCACCTGCTTGCCTGTCCAAGGTACCTAAGCAGAAACAAGTTGAAGAGTCCAGAATCCTGGTTAATTCTTCAATTAGAGAAGGCCCTCATTTCTGCTGCCATTCCACACTACATGTAATATAATCAAAAGTTGTCTTTAAAAAAATAAAAACAAAAAAAAAAGCTTTCTGCTGAATGTAACTCCTATGACTGATGGCAATCAGACACCAGAACTTTGAAGTGTCTTATTACCTCCTGGATCGCTGTAGTGGGACAGTATGGTACTCTGAACCTCGTAAGTAAATAAAGTCTTGTGGTCCAGAATCTTGGTTAATTCTTCAATTAGAGGAGGCCCTCATTTCTGCTGCCATTCTACACTACATGTAATATAATCAAGAGTTGTCTTTAAAAAAAATAAAAACAAAAAAAAAAGCTTTCTGAAACAAGACTTAGCCAGGAAGCCAGTGCTGGTCCATTTCTGGTGCAGCCAGTTCTTCCTCAGTTCATATGCAAGGCTTTGCAGTGCTGGTCATTAGGTAAGCCATTTGAATCTAGACTCAGACACCTAGGAGTAGAGTCTGCAGATGGGCTGGGTGTCTAACACCCCTTTCAACCAATGCAGTCCATTCAAAGCAGGAGATAGGGAGGAGGGAAAGTTTCAGAGTAACACAGACACAGAAACAAGCTAAAAGCAGCATCCCACCTCAGCCATTCCATCCACCATGTGGCAATGAGCAGAAGGTTTCCTACAGGAAGGGAAACACAAATCTCCACCTGTACTGTGAATTCAGGTGAAGGTATTCAACCAGGATTACAGCAGGAAGTAAGAGACGTACAAAGCAGTTAATTCATAGATATTTGGAAATGCAGAGGGGGAAGGAATTTTATTTTTTTACTTCTAAAATTGGGAGTAGGAGAGAAGGAGAAGAGAAAGAAAACATTACCTTGCTACTTGAGAAAAAGCCAAAAAACACACAGAAGAAAGATGAATTGTGTATTCAGAAAAATTAAAGGTAAAGGTAAAAGATAAATTAAATCCTCATTCTCTCCTTTTCAGAGATGATTCTGCTAGTGGTGTTCCTATGTCTCACAACTGTGTTGCCTCCATCCACTGGAGAGGTAGGATCCACACTTTATAAAAAAAATCTGCATGGGACCTGAGGCGCTTGTGGTCTGACTGAATATGGCTTTTCCTATGCACACCAATCATATGCAGAAAGAGTCTGAGTAGATATCTAGTGTCTGGAAAGCATTTATATTTGAAGTCAGTTTAATTTCAAAGCAGTAGATTAGTTCCACACTTGCACACTAAACCATCTATAAGCTCACTGTTATTTATGAGTTGGGCCAGAGATAAAGCTCCCATACACACATGCAGTAATCTGGATCTCCCAAAGATCCAGTCCTCTTTCTGTTAATTCCCCATGCTTTTACAGGCAGCAGTTACCTAACTCTGACCCTTCTTGTCCACCAGAGCTTGAGCTGTGTGCCTCTCCCTTTGCTCACAGTTCCATCCTCTCAACATGTATCACAGATTTCCCTCAAACAGCTAAATGAACTAATACACTCAATGCACACTTGGAGTGGTTCCTCCCAACCCATACTTAGTCTGAAGTTTGAAGTTTGCTACTTCTGTTTCAGAGACACTAATGTAACTGAAGGCTTGACTACCTTTCTCCCTAATTTCTGCTCTCTATGCTGCAGTCTAAAAGACTACTGTGAAGGGTTGTAAAGAGGAGGCTGAGTTCTTCACATGGCTATTTTTTAATAAAACACATGAAAAGTTTGAGAAACGCTATCAGTTATGGCAGGAGTGGAAGGAGATCTATAGCATGAAAATCATACTCACATGTTCATGTCTTCATCTAGTTTATAGATTCTGTTCCCTCAAAACCTTATGAAGGAAATTATAATAATAGTTAATTAAGTCTGATTCAGTTGTCTAAATTTAAGAGTCTACAGACATGAGAGGTTCCAGGATATCTCAACCTTCCACAGAGGGTTGGCAGATATGGTACAGGAATAAATGTTATTACTGCTTTATGCTGCAGAACCACTTAATGTGCTACTCCACATGGAAGCATCCCTAGAGATACTTGGGAGACAAAGTGTATCACAGTACCTTCTTCATTGCAAGAATCATCTCTTTGGTTCATATTAGTATTTTGGTATTTTACTGTTTCCTAGACAGGATTTAAGATTTAGTTACATTCAATTAAAAAATAAATATGACAAGTTCTTTCATTTTAGAAACATGGAAGTTTTGATGCTCTGTCAACTACCAAACTAGATCAGCAAAAGCTGATTGTTGACAAACATAATACCCTCAGGAGAGGAGTGAAACCAACTGCCAGCAACATGTTGAAGATGGTAAGTTGTGTGCTGTAAATCCATTTTTAATGAGTAAAGGATCCTATGAGAGATACAGGACCATATGCAAGATCATATTATTTTATTTAGCCATGGATTCACCCTCCAGAGTTTTCCTAAAGATTAGCTTTCCTAAAGATTAGTCATGGCCAGTACCAAAAAAAACCCATAAAGCTTGACAGGTGGAAAAAATGTCTGGAAAATTTTGTGGTGTGTGAACAGTAATGTCTTTTTCTTTTGGAGGAAAAAGAAAACGGATTCACCCTCCAGACATTTCCTAAAGATTAGGCATGGCAAGTACCAAAAAAACCCCATAAAGCTTGGCAGGTGGAAAAAAAGTCTAGAAAATTTTGTGGTGTGTGAACAATAATGTCTTTTTCTTTTGGAGGAAAAAGAAAAGGAAAGGGAGGAGCCATAGCATTGTTAAATTCGTTCTTATGCATTCTTCATCAGCCTTCACAGTTCCTATTCTTCTCCTGAGTGCATGGTGGCTTTGTTCATACTCCTCTTATCCCACAAAAGAAAGGGGAAGAAAAGGATTTTGTATACGATTTTTTTCTAAATTGAAATAGTAATTTTCAAATGTTGTTCCTTCATGAGGGATTATTAATTTGTACATGTCTAAATGACTAATATTGCATTGTTTCGTTAAGGAATGGAGTCTTCCAGCTGCAAAGAATGCCCAAAAATGGGCCAATCGATGTATTTTAAGACACAGTCCTCCTAGCATGAGAAGAACCAGTAAGTGAAGCATGAGTGTTAACTGAATAATGTTACACATGTTATTGATGTGACCAGTTTGGGTTTTGCTTCGGTTCGGTTTTTGGTTTGTGTATTTTGTTTGTTTGTTTTGGGGTTGGGTTTTTTTTGAGATGCCATTTATATTCAATGTGATTTTATTAGTGAACCAGAAAAAGGCAAAATTCTAGATATAAATCTGTCTAGTAAGTGAGAAAAGGTCAATCCCATTCCCATCCCAGTTGCATCAGTTTTACATAAGTATATCCTATTTTCTTCAGTAGGTGAAAAAAATCATAGTGAGAAGGCATATTCTCTCAAAATATCCATCAGAAAGAAGAGAACCTAGACCCAGTTCATTGCAGAACCCAGTTTGCAAACTAACTGGGAAGGAATGGGTAAAAACTAAAGGTCCAAAACCCACTGGTGGTGTTAAGCATGATTACTAGGACAAGACTCCTAATTTTCATATTCCTTGGCAATTTGCAACCTATATCTTGGAGATTCATATAAACGCTTCAGTCTTTGGATACTGACGTTACAACTGTACTATGTTAACACAGACTGATCTCTTTCTATACGGTATGTAAGATGAGAACTGCCCGTCTGTCCTCATACTTTTTGTGTATAAAACAAATCCTCTGGTTCTTATTAAGGTCAATCCCAGATGCGAACTAATGTATAAGCAGTAAAGTTGATCAGGACAACAGACCTGAATAAAAACAGTAGGTGAATTCACATGATAGTGTAGACACCTTCCTGTGTACCAGAATTAAGCTTTGCATTACTGGGATTTTCCCAAGATAACTGAGCTGTGACCTGAATAATGACTAGGTTGCTAACTTTCAAATAGCAAAATCACAGTCATGGATCTGTGGTGTACCTGTGCAGGTGTATCTACAGGCATGCAAAAGGTCTGTCTCAACCAACATACCAGTCAAACAGGCTGGTCATGCTGCAAACTGGTCAAATGACAACTTCAGTATTGACAAAGGGTGACATCGCTGAACTGGGAAAAATAAAATAATCCCTGCTGTTCTACCTGAGATGAGAACTTCCTGGAAATCATACCATCTTTTGTTATCTTTTTCTTACACATGGATCTATTACGCATTTCTCAATACCTTTCTCTTTTCAGACGTACAATGTGGTGAAAATCTCTTCATGTCATCTGGCCCTTTCTTGTGGCCAAATGTTATTCAGGCCTGGTACAATGAGGAGAAAGATTTCGAATATGGAACTGGAGCAAAAAGACAAGGTGCTGTGATTGGCCACTACACTCAGGTAGATACAACTTTTTTGTATTATCAAATAACATTTAGGCTGAATAAATAAATATCTATCTGTTAGCTAAGAAACATTTACCCTCTCAATATATTTAAAGGGAATAAGCACAATGGGAACATGAGTTATTCTGACAAAACAAGATGAAACCTTTCAAAGTAAGAGAATTAAAATGAAAATAATAGGCTAAGTGTCTTTACAGAGTAAAGATACTGGTATTTCAAAACTTCAGGAAGAAACTTATTTGTTTGTTTAACATCTGAAAATTGCTCAGACACCGGAAGAACAGTTATTAAAGTATCAAGAAGGAAATATATGTTTGTTACAGCCTACAGAATTCCATTGACCCAGAGAGGTTCCAGTTGAAAAATGGTTTAAAATAACCTCTATTCACCTACATGAAACACCAGATACAAAATTTTACATCATGATGCCTACATCATCTTCAATAGTTTTAATTGAATAATATATATATATAATTGAGACAGTTTAACTCAAATATTTTATGTATATATGTGTGATAAATTATCATGATATCCTAAATGTTATTTGATTCAGGGGTGAAATCAGGGGGGGAAAAAAAAGGTTTTCTAGCCAGGTGTGTCTTATATTTTACTATAAAAGCTAAATGAAGTGACTTAACTTGGTTGCAAATGTTTCTTTAATGCATACTGTACTTAAAAGATTTCCAAATGTATATTTTCTCATTCTTCCATAATTTTTATTCTTATACCTACAGGTGGTTTGGTACAATTCTTATCAGGTTGGATGTGCTCTCTCTTTCTGTCCCAACAGTACATACAAATACTTTTATGTCTGCCAATACTGCCCTGCGTACGTATTGATTCCGATTCTGGAACTTCTTATTACATTATATAAATTAGTCAAGAGCTGGTGAAATTTGTAACAGGGCACATCACCCATAGCTGAAGAACAGGTTTGTAGAGTGTATTAGGAATATGAAAAGACAGAAATATTCTCATAAAATAATTTGTCAAACAAGCAAAAGCATAAAACATACAAAAGAGACACATATTTTCAGAATAAATTTCATTAGCTTAAAATTACTAATTTTCATAACAGTAAATCACAAATAAGTATTTTCCATATTCTACTGGAAATCGTGGTTCAGAAAGGCTTCTCAATATGTACAGTAGAGTGAAAACTGTGATTAATACCAAAAACTGTAGTGGGAATTTCAAGGCAGTGATGATTTCATAATGTGCCTAAAATTAATTTTCACATTCATATCTTAATATATTGTGGTGGGTTGACCTCGGCTGACCACTAGTAACCCACCAAGCTGCTCTATCACCACCCCTCCCTCCCCCCCAATTGGACAGGGGGAGAAAAAATATAAGAAAAACCTTGTGGGTCAAGATAAGAACTAGGAGATCACTCACCAGTTCCTATCACAGGCCAGATAGACTCAACTTGGTGAAATTAGCTTAATTTGTTGCCAGTCAGAGTAGGATAATGAGAAATAAAATCAAAACCCACATTCTGCCCATTCCTCTCTTCTTCCCAAGCTCAATTTCACTCCCAATTTCTCTGTCTTCACCCCCTGTGAGGTGCAGAGGGACAGGGAATGGAAGTTGTGGTCAGTTTGTAACACGCTGTCTCTGCCACTCCTTTCTACTCATGCTCTTCTCCTGCTCCAGAGTGGGGTCCCACCCATGGAAGACACTCCTTGTCAAATTTCTCTAATGTGAGTCCCTTCCACAGGCTACAGTTTTTCACAAACTGCTCCAGCATGGGTCCTTTCCACAGGCTGCAGTCCTTCAGGAACAGACTGCTTCAGTGTAGGTCCCCCACAAGGTCACAGGTCCTGCCAGAAGACCTGTTCCAGTGTGGGTTCCTCTCCACTGGGTCACAGCTTCCTTCAGGTGCATAAACTTCCTCTGGCATGGCGTCCTCCACAGGGTACAGGGGAATCCTTCTCCTCCTCTTCCCTCACTGACCTTGGTGTCTGCAGGGCTGGTTCTCTCACATATTCTCAGTCCTTTCTTCTGGTTGCTCTTGCACAGAAGTTTTTACTCTTTCTTAAATATGTTATCACAGAGGTGCTACCATCATCACTGATTGGCTCAGCTTTGGGCAGCAGCGGGTCCAACTTGGAGTCAGCTGGCACTGGCTCTGTCTGAAACAGGGGCAGCTCCTGGTGTCTTCTCTCAGAAGCCACCCCTGCCAATTGTCCCCCACTCCACTAGCAAAACATTTCCCAATAAACCCAACACATATATAGAAATTGTTTGACATATAACCAAAGACTGAGTGTAAATTAATATAGGTATGTATCTGTATAATTAAGTTTTATTCTCACAGATGTTCTAGTGACATTATAGCTAATGTTGGTTCTGTTGCTGTTTCAGCGGGAATCTGGTAACTTCAATTCCAAGACCCTACAAAGCAGGAAAACCCTGTGGTGATTGCCCTAATGCTTGTGAAAATGGATTATGCAGTAAGTTTTAAGCATTTTAATTGTGACTCTGGTAATGTTGATGCTTTTTAAAATCTCAATTAATTTATGCAAATAGAAATTTTTTGAAATTATTTGTTCAAATACTAGGCCAAAAGCACTATTACAGATCCACATTTCAGCATGCTTGTTGCTTTATCACGGTGGGATGACTTGTGGAGTGAAACCAGAGAAAGAGTCTGACGGGGATGGGCAAATTATAGACAGTAGCTGGTGTGCATTGTGACACAGATACCCTCCACTTCATGGATCAGGATATTCATATGGCCTAGATACTTTCATTAAAGATGACAATGTCTGGGTCTTTCTTACATCTGGGTAGGAACAACCTCAGGTTCCAGTACAGGCTGG